TTGAAAATCTCAGGCATCTTCTTTCAGGGCTTTAAATGGTGTCTCGAATCATTATTTTCACTCTTTTTGCAAAACGCCGTTAGAGGTACAAAGCTCGGTGGAGGCGATGTAATGAAAGCCGACCCTGTGTAAAAATTCATCTGTTTAGGCAAAGGACCCAACAAACCCGCCGAAGTCGGAGCCTCCGCAGTTTTCGACTTCTCCGACGTCGTTAAATCGGTCAACGCTTCACCTCGTCTCAAAATCTTGCCCTTCCCCATAATCAGATTCTTGCAGTCGTGCTTCGGGGGCGATTTAGATGAATTCCTACTATTTTGGGAGATTTGCAGGATTTCATAGGCGGCTGGTTTAAGTTATTACGATTAAAAATGATTTTTCAAAATATCTTGTGGATGAACAACTGCAACTTCTCCCGTGGAAGATCAAAATCAAGATCTTCACAAACAAAATAAATCAAAATTAAGAACTTGCAAGAAATGAAAATATCTCAGTACGCAGAGAGAAAGTTCTATGTAAAAGATGGAATTGATGAAGAGGAAAAAAAAAATTGTTGGGCATATAAAGTGGCAAACAAAGTCGGCAATGGGAAGGCTGGAGAGTAAGCCCCCGTTTGAATCTCTTTCTACTTCATTGTATTCTATTTTTCTCTATCTTATTTTTAACAACACAATCTTTAATAAAATAATATTACACGTAAATAAAAAAATTCTTCTTTTTCAATCATTCATTTTTTTTTTAAAAAATACTATTCAACCCATTTTCATTTACTAAAAATGGGGGCCAAACATGGACTAAATTACCCAAATGGTTATTGAACTTTGCAAAAAAAAATTACGGGGTCACTGAATTTTAAAAATCATCCAATTCATCACTGAACTTTGCAAAAAGTTTCCACGAGATTACTGAACTTTAAAAATCACCATATTAATCACTGAACTTTACAAAAGATTTTCACTCGATAACTGAACTTTTCAAAATGTTTAACAGGGATCCTAAATTTAGTGATCCTTGAGAAACTTTTTGCAAAGTTCAGTAATAAATGGGGTGATTTTTAAAATTTAATGATCCCGTAAAATTTTTTTGCAAAGTTCAGTTATTAATTAGATGATTTTTAAAGTTCAATAATCCCGTAAAAATTTTTTACAAAGTTAATTGACCATTTTAATAATTCACGCGAAGGTTGGAAGTCGGTAGTAGTCCATAACCGATACTTTAATAGCAAGAGTTTCTTGACCTAATATTTTGGTGGATACAGCCCCGAACTTTTGATTTTATACCATTTAAGTCCTTAAGGAATAATTTCTTTCCTTTTTCTGAATTTTTTTTTTTTTTTGAGACACACAAAATCGTGATTATCAAACCAAATTAAAAAAAAAAAAAACCCCCCGAACTTGTACACATTTCGAGAAAGAAAGGGAAATCAAACAAAAAATTGAAAAAAAAAAAAAAGGAATGAAAAAAAGGTTACATGTCTTGTCAATGATGGAGAAGAATTATGCCCTTGTTTGAGCCCCATTTTTGTGAAGAAAATGAATTTTTGAATAGTGTATTGATGGAAAATGTGCGGTTAAAAAATAAGAAAAAAATTTTAATTTACGTATAATATTATTTTATTAAAGAATTTGTAATTGAAATAATGTCTAATCACTGTTGAAATATATATTTTAGTTGAAAAATGGGGCTCAAACAAGGGCTATAACTTTTGAAAAGAGGGGACGAAAACAAATGACTCAGCCCCTGTTTGGTCCCCATTAATTTTCATTTCATTACATTTTATTTTTCGCTCTTTTATTTTCAATCACACAATCGTCTATAAAATAATATTACACATAAATAAAAAAAAATTCATTCTTTTTCAACCACTCATTTTTTTAAAAAAATATTATTCTACACATTAATTTTTTCACGTAATGGGGGCCTATAGCCCTTGTTTGAGTCTCATTCTTTTAGAAAAATTCATTTTTCAACAGTATTTTGACATTATTTCAACCATACATTTTTAATAAAATAATATTATACGCAAATCTAAAATTTTTCCTTATTTTTTAACCACACATTTTTCATCAATGCACTATTTAAAAATTCATTCTTCTAAAAAAAAAAAGGACTCAAACAAGGACATAATATGTATTATGTATAAATACAAAAAGCTTTTATGAAGGAGATTATAAAGAGAATCTTTTTGTGGGTTTTATGAAAATTTTGAATAATAAATAAATAGTGCTTATGAATCGCGATTAAAATTAATATTCAATTTTAACTTTATTTTATAAATGAAACAAAAAAAAAAATGATTATGTTTGAAAGAGATTATAAAGAGAATCTTTAGTAGTTCTTATGAAAATTGTGAATAATAAATAAATGGTATTTATGAATCTGTAATCGAAATTAATTTTTAAATTTGATTTTATTTATAAAAGAAAAAAAATTTCAAATTTGCTTATAGAAAATTTTCAAAATGTCTAGGACGGTGCTCTGTTTGAGCCCTACTTTTTTTGCCAATGATGCATTTTGAAATAGTGATTTAATGGAGAATATATAGTTAAAAAATAATGAAAAATTTTGAATTTACATGTAATATTATCTTATTGAAAAATACGTAGTTACAAATAAAAGAGAGAAAAATATATTTTAAAAATAATAGGAACCAAACAATGGTATAATGGGATTGCTCAGAGGGACAAGTCCATTGCACCATATGACACATTTAAGATTTGCACTACATGTACAGAAAGCATTTTGCCAAACAACTTATAGATCACACACAGTCCAAGGGTAGGTGGGTATATTTTTTCAATATATTCTGGATTTATTCTGTGGGAATTGATTGTTATTCTTTAGTTTGTCAACACCTCATTAGAATACTACTTTTTCATTTTTGTAAACAAACTCTTCCTTTGCCCAACATTATCAGTTGGCCCAAGAACAATCCAATCTAGGCCCAAATGGTGAAATATGTTAGTCTTCTAATTTGTCTATGAAATTGGACTTCCTAGCCCAAATCCGAGGCCAAGGCCTAATTTCAAGTCTATGATAGCTGCCTGACCTAAGTCAAACATTGTACAAATGGTAATGTACATGTAGAAATTAAAAAAAATGTACAAATTTTCTTTTGATATATTTTAAATATTACTTTTACGCACAAAAGAATTGTTGACAATTCAACAAGAAACAAAAAAGCAAATCAAAGTTGTTTTCTTCGTAGTACATAGAACTGACAAGAGAACAAAGCATAGTAATCAACTTGTTTGGTGAGGGATGGTGTACTCATCTCGCGCTTCGAGGTATAGTTAAAGTAATCATCTCGAATGGCGAGGTATAAGAAATACATTCACCTTTCATGATCTTATTGATGACTTCAACCCACTGTTCTAAAAAGCGCGCATTGACACCATCAATGAGTGGCAGAAGCGTCAAGTCAAATGGCTTAGTGTCTTATTTAGCGGTCAGTAGCAATCGTTGACCGTTAATGTGCGCCTAGGCGCGCATAATGATCTCTGTTTTAAAAAAAAAAAATTTATTACAATTTTTCTAAATTAAAACTTAAATGTTGATTTATTCACTTCGTCGGTTCTAAATTCAAAATAGTAAATAGAACCCTTAAACAAAGAAAATCTCTCAAAAATTTCTATTAGTTTACTATTTAATATTTACATTTGGAACTTATCTTTTTGTTGAAAACTCCAGAAAAATGTATAATGTTGTTTTAGATGTCAGGTAGGTATTATTTTTAATTATTAAATGATTTTTCGATTGATTAAAAATTAAAATAATATTAAAATAAGAAAACGTTTTTTTTACTCTTATGTCTCGCCTAAACTTGCCTTACCCATAGCTTGGCATCCATACATCGTCATGCATTACACTTTTTAGAACATTGCTTCAACCTAACCATTGGCTTGGAGTGATGCGGAGAGGAAAAATTCTTTTTAATGTCTTAACTCGTGATATACTTTTTAGACCTTCTTCGAGTTGAATTACGTTTCATTGTCCAAAAAGTAACAATGAAAGCTACACCTACAAATTAAGGATGTTATTCCAAATAAACTTGAAAGCATTAGCTCCGGTGATATTTGCAAAAGGTCTAGTTAGTGAAGTAGTCAATGTAAAAATCACATGGCAATTGTTTTCTCTTCCTATTGGCAATTTTCCAATGAGCTCAATTCCCTACTTGACCAATATTAGCCCTCGGGAGTTGCCTTGGCACAACTGTGAAGCGTTGGCAATTGTTGCACTTTTACACGAAGTCTAAGGAGTCCTTCAAAGTGAACTAATAGTAGTCATGTCTCAGTACTTTGTGTGTAACGAGTGGATGCCACACACACCTTCATTGATTTCTCTGATCGTATAGTCCACCTCTTTTCTTTTCCGTACATCTAAGGAGGGGCATAGAGAAATCCCACTTGTAGAGCATGTAGTCCATAAGTTACAAAATAGGCAGCTCTTCTCCTCCACTTCCGGGCTTCCTCCTCATCTTCATGCAAAGTTTAATCCTTGAGGAACGCGGTGATTGACTTCATCCATTCAGGAGGTCCTCCTACCCGCATCACCTCGTTTCCGGTCTCAATTGAAGGCCTTAACAAGTGTTCTATTGACACAAATTTGATATAATGTAATCGATTATAAGCCCTTGAACAAAATAAATCCAATTAGCCCAATTATACATTTCATTAATTGGCATTCAAAATTTTTGATTCAAGTCATATATACTCACATGAGAGAGATCTACAAGACTGTGACCTGAGATATTGTTTCACAATGAAGGGACATTAAAACAAGTATAGGATAGAGGTGTTTGTGAAACAAATAAAAGTCATATATTATTATAATAATGTGAATATCCATGAATTGAATTTGGCCAACTTATGAAATCCACCATGAGCCAACTGGTAACTACTAAATGCAATAGATATAGCTAGATTTAAGGTCCAAGAGCCTGTGTTTTGTGGGACCCTTTTTCTCTCTGCTTGCCAGAAAGCCAAGGAAAAAAAAAATGAAAAACAGGGCACTTTCAACAACTTTTCCATAGTACAAAAAGCCCTCAGTCCCCTCCTTCCCTCCGTGGGCTAATGTACCATTCCCTCCCTCATTTGATTATTCTGAAAACACTTTAGCAATAACAGTAGATACAATGGCCCGACTGCAGCAACGATATCGAGGCGTTCGACAACGGCACTGGGGCTCTTGGGTCTCTGAAATTCGCCATCCTTTACTGTAAGTTGATCTTGAATCTTGATTTAAATCATGCATTGTCATTCAATATTGATCACACGTTGCACACAGAGAAGACATGTTTAGTATGCAGTACTGGAATTTTAGCTTATTTTTCTTTGTTTATATTGTCCAATTCCATCATTCCGAAGCAGGTATATAACATTTCGAGTCCTCTGATAATTGTAGATGTCTGGATTTTATGTTTATGTACAGGAAGACTAGAATTTGGCTAGGAACATTTGAGACAGCAGAAGATGCAGCAAGAGCCTATGATGAAGCAGCTCGACTAATGTGTGGTCCGAGGGCTAGAACTAATTTCCCTTACAATCCCAATTACGCTAATCACCCTTTGTCTTCTTCCTCGAAGCTTCTTTCAGCCACATTGACTGCAAAATTGCACAAGTGCTACATGGCTTCTCTTCAAATGACTATGAAACAATCAATGCAGGAACAAGGCCCTCAAGTAATTCCTTCGCGTGATCCAGCAATCCCGAGGAATGCCGGTGCCTTTAAATTAGAGAGTGCTAATAACTATGAAGCCAATTTTTGGCCAGCAGATTATGAGAAGAAACCAATGGTGCAAGTGCAAGAAATCAAGCCACTTGAAGAAGACCATATAGAGCAAATGATTGAAGAACTTCTTGATTATGGCTCCATTGAGTTTTGCTCATCTAATTAGCCTATTGTAAACCAGCTACTAGCTTCAACCTAGTGGCACTGCTGCTGGCTCATTTCGACATCACTCTTGATATTGCCCAAAAAAAAAGCCAAAAAGAAGCTACTCTTTTGCTTTTAAGTTAGTTAAGTTAGCTTTTAATATAACCCATTTTTCTAAACCTTAATGATCTCTAGGAACTCTTCAACTATGTTAGGACTTCAGTTGTATTAGATGAAGATTCTGTATATTGTACTGTGTTACAATTCTTGCCCGAGTTGACTTAGAAATACTATTTCTATTTTCAGTATTTTTCTTTGCGCATCTTAACTAAAAATAAGTTAAAATCGTATTCATTAAACGGCTGGTTACGACGAGTACTATGTTTCAACTACAGAATAATGTCTCACAGAAAACAAACTCTCACTGTTAAAAGTTAAAAACTGAAGAATATATTAACAGTTTGTTGAAAATATGTCTTAATCTACATCTACTGAGAGTCACAATAAAGTGTGTGTAAAAAGGGTAGAGAGTACGTGTATGGTGATACGAAGATAGAAAAAATGCCCTCTAATTTTTATGCGAAAAAATGAAAGAAAGTGCTTAATTTTCTGGGATTTGGAGTGTGTGTTGGGGAAAAGTATTACTTTTTTCAGTGGCAGTGTTTCCTGTGGGATTGCCGCTGGTAAAAGCAAACAGACACTGAAAATGCTAAAACTTATTCAACTAATTGGAGTCAGTAACTCATTGTATAAAATTAGTAATACGGAGAAGACAATTGTTTCAAGCGAGATAGAATTGGAAGTGTCCCTACTTTTAACGGATGAGTGGATAATTCACATTTCATTTCATGGCTAGAGGTAAATTCAAAAGTTAAGAATCGAAAATTTCATATTTTTTCTAGAATAAAAAATAGAGATGTCATACGTTATTTATTACTTATGGGGTAGAGGTGGATGGGTCGGTCCATGAATTTTCCTTCCTTTTCTTTTGCTGCATTTCATTCAAAGGATTGAAGGGAGATAATGCATCAAACTGTTTGCAATGGCAACTTGATTCTCTTCTCCAACGATCTCAGATAAGTATTGATGTAATTGATACTTATTGGGTCGAGACGATGGATCGGTCCATGAATTTTCCTTCCTTTTCTTTTGCTGCATTTTGCTCAAAGGATTGGAGGGATATAGTGCATCAAACTGTTCTCAATGACAACTTGATCCTCTTCCTTAGCGATCTCAGATAAGTATTGATGTAATTGATAGTGAATGACGGTTTATATAGTTCCTGTTTGGTTTTGTTACAAAAATTGTTAAAATTGAAATTAAAGTTAAGAATTAATTTTTAATCAAGATTTCATCAATTTTTACCAAAATATACTAAAAATCTATATTTTAGTAAGACCAAACAGGGGAATAAATTGACATGAGAAAACTAAATTATTGAAATCATAGAAAAATGTGGATTAGTCCAAAAGCAGGTATAATCATGCGGCGATTAAAAATAATTTATATATAAACGTGTACTTACCTTATTATGCTCATAATTGGTTGAATCTCATTTTAACCTGTTATATGTATGTATTCTAAAAGTTTACCATTTAAACAAAAAATGACAATGAAACTAGAATATTTACGCGAGAGCTTGTACTTTACAATATTATTTTCAAGTATATGAAAGAATCACGTCGAACCCAATCAGGGACTGCCAATTTTGACCTAGTTCGATTTTATTACTGGAAGCGAAATCATTTGTTAAATGTGTAAATTTCTATTGATATTTTGTTCGGTTAATTTCTAATCTTAATCAAATCAAATTAAACTACTTAATCATTGTTCAATTCAACATTTCAAACATAACACTACGTTAGGCGTATATAATTGGACCTAGATTATAGGTGTTGAAATGCTCTAAGGTAAGACTTAGAAGAAGAATAAAAATATGTAAACATAAATTTATCAACACTTCAGCAAGAGTAAGCCCGTATTTGATTTAGCTAAAAAGTTGATAAAAATTTAAATTAAAGTCAATAATCTCCAAAGCGCATTCACAAAAGGGTCATATTGAATGAAATAAAAGTCCCGTTCTCTTATCAAGGAAATGCTGCACTTTTCAACACCTTCAGTAAACTTCAGATAGTAATTTTAATCACATATTTTATGGATCCACAACTTTGTAAGAATGAACTTCATCAATTTTTATGAAATCCTATTGTAAATCTGATTTTTAATTTAACAAACAAAGCTAAATGATTGACTTGCATTATATCAAACTGATTTTTATGGTGAAAGGCATATGACAATACAATCATGTTCTCCTTCCCATGGTAAAAAGTTCTATTTTACTCACTTTAAAAAGAACCTTAGTTAAGGTTCTCACATTTGAAAAGAATAGTGCGTAAAATTTTTTTACCACATTAGCACGTGGACAGTCTTATACCGTCCACTGCGAACAAGAGAACAATTTCTTATGACAATATTGTAAAGAATACTACTACCGTTCGTACCATTATTATTGGATTGTTAATGTTTTTCTAAATGCATGCTCACTTTTAGGTATTTTTGGTGTCCCATCTTCTCCAGTGTAACTCATGATTGTGTCCTGTTTGGAAATTGATTATGCCTCCCACAATTGAAAAATCTCATTATTTTTGTTTATCACTTTTCAATCACTAAAGTTGTCCAGATAATGACATTGCCAGTAAGTTTCCCATCATTATTTGTTTGAATTTTGTGTCCATGAAATTTCACCTGACCTACCAACTTCCTCAATCTCAAGACTACGTCAATCAAAATAGCAGTGCCCAACGAGCTACAATATCAACCCTTTGTGGACAAAGCTATCGGTACAAACCCTGTAGAGGATACACACATGGGAGTGGGTGAGTGATATTTTTTGACAATATTTTAATCACGTTGAGTGAGTTCCACGTGAGTGTTCTGTAAAAAACCTATAAACTACACCCCTATACATATGACATTTTCCATCCTTCATTGACCCCGTCGAAGCACGGGCCACCAAATTTCTGTAGACTGGTCGAATTGATCATATCACATACAACTTTCATCAATGTCATTAATTTAGACCATTTTCCCGCTTCGTAACTTTGAAGAAGTTCAAGAGCGACTAAAAAAGCTCCTAATCAAGAATAGAAGCAGAACCCTTTGTCTGGCTTTCCATTCTCTTTCAAATAAGTAAAGCTCACAGCCTAATCCAGTTGGCCATGTATTTTGTTGTTCTATTCTTGCCAACAAGAATGATGCATGGTAGAAGCTTGTTCCCATCCTGTTCCGTCCCGTCTTAAAAAAAAAAAAAAAAAAAAAAGTGAAGAAGCAATAGATATTGATGCAATATGCTCAGGTCAAATTCAGACCAAGCTCAAGGGTACAAAGCATGTTGCAGTGTCTATTATGACATAACACTCAGTTGGGTATATTCAATAATAATGTTAGCAATAAGCGAACAAGAAAAAAAGGGACAAAGTTTAATGGTTTATATATGTTGATTTCTTACCAAGCCAAAATATATGATAGCCAAACGCACGAAAGTGATCAGACCTGTCAAAAATATTTTCAGTTGATTGGACTCAAAAAATTCAAATCGGCCTAATGTGTAAAAAAGAAAAAAAAAAAAAAAAAAAAAAAAAAAAAAAAAAAAAAAAAAAAAAAAAAAGGAAAAATGAAAAAAAAAAAAAAAAAAAAAAAAAAAAAAAAAAAAAAAGAAAGAAAGAAAGAAAAACGTTTCACGCAAAAAATATTTTTTACATACAAAAAAAAGTCTTTTTACCCCTCAAAAGAGGTAGATATTATCAAAAATATAAACATAAAAATACAAAGATTTATATTGTTGGATATCTGACATATTCATGCACACGAAAGGAAGATTTCACTAATAATTGTAAGTGGAGAATACATACAAGTATTCCTTCTCTAAACTCTAAGCAAATTGTAAGGATTGATGCATCATGGCCCGAGATTGAACATCTTGTAAGTTCAAGGAGACTGAAAAATTTACATCTTTAGAAAAGTAGCTTTTAGCCCTTGTTTGATGGGCTTTTTATCGAAACTCTTTTTTCTATATATTAATTTTTAACTATATATTCACACGATAAAATATTTTGTTTATAGATTCAAAATTTTTCTTATTTTTTAACAACACATTCTTCAAAAATTCACCATTCAAAATATTTTTTTTTTTCAAATACTGATCATCAAATCTGGCAAATAGGTTTTCACTTTTCCGAGGTACATATAAGGAAAAAAAAAATGAAAGGAAAATGGTCTCTGTAGCTTAATTTCATGGTGAGTGAAGTTTCACAATTAATGGTCAAACCAAATGATGATGTGAATGGAATCTCACGAGGAAATGTTGGAGAAGAGACAAAACAAAAAGGCCTTAAACTAATTTATTTCTGTTTCTGTACATAACGTGGGGTTTGGTTTAGTATCATTTTCTTTTGTTTTAGATTATTCAAATCAAGTGAGTCATTCTTGAAAAAATAAATAAATGAATGAAAATAAACAAAACAAAACTCACACAAGAAATTAAGGTTTAAAATGTTATACTTGTTTGTGTGATTGTTCGTGTTTTGTTTGTTCTTATATGTTGTTTACAAGAAATTTAACTTTTAAGGACAAAAAGGTTGTAAAATTTATCTTGTGGAACTAAGGTAATCTAGGCCAGCCCTTTTTGGAACTCATATATGACACCAGAACATCTTTTTTTTTTTCTTTTTTAATCGGTAAATGTAAACTCTATTGAGTTCCATTCTACCCGCGTAGGACAAAGATGTCTTAGACCAACCATAAATGTGGGCTGTGATTTTGTTAAGAAGAGAGTTATACGAGCTAATTTTCAACCTCACTGCGGCAAGTGGAATCCCCAAGTATGAGAATGGCATGGTACTCTTGGACATATTGGTCACTTGAAATATCTCCTCAAGCACTTACCCAGTTACCCATGAACCCCTGCTGTAAACAACTAAGATTTGCTAACATTCATCATTAATCCCAATGTGTCTCCAAACGTAGACAAACAATCCATTTAGATACCAATCGAAATTGGATCTCATCTAGCAAAGAGCGTCAAATCATCCGCGAATGCCAAATGTGTAATCTTTAAAGGGCCATATTTGGGGTGATAATTAAACTCGCTATTCTCCGTAGCTCCCTTCAACATTCTTAAAAAATACTCAAGACAAATGACAAACAAAAAAGGAGAAAGAGGGTCACCTTAACGAAGACCATTTTTCCCTTTAAAAGATCCACGAAGGCTTCCATTGAGAGCAATAGAATATGAAGGAGTCGAAATGCA